GTGAGTCATCTTGGAAGCAGATCATCTAGGCCCAGTCAAACCTTCAGGTAACTTCAAAGTAATAAGAGACCCTGAGCTTGAGCCATCCAGCTAAGCTGCTCCCAAATTCTTGACCCACAAGAACTGTATGCGATAATAAATACTGTCATTTTAAGCTGCTAAGTTTTGGGATAATTTGTTACACAGCAATAGTTAACTAATATACCAAACTTATATTGATTCAGCTTATGTTTATTTATCTATCGAGAGAGGGTCTCACCCTGCCACCCAGGCCGAAGTGCAATAGTGTGATCACGGTTCACTGTAGCCTCAACCTCCCAGGCCCAAGTGATCCTCCCACCTCAGCCTCCCAAGTAGCTGGGACCACAGGCATGTGCCATCATGCCTGGCTAATGTTTAAATTTTTTGTAGAGACAGGGTCTCCTTATGTTGCCCAAGCTGGTCTCAAACTCCTTGACTCAAGTGATCTGCCTGCCTTAGCCTCCCAAAGTACTGGGATTACGGTGTGAGCCACCACACCTGGCCCAGTGTATGTTTATACAGAAAATATGTATATTTACATCATTAAAATCTTATCTATATTTTTAACGAAGTAATGTGCATTTAAATCTTCAAATTACATTCCAAATAGAATTGATAGAAAATTACTGAGTGCCAGCCTGGCTGACATAGTGAGACCCTGTCTTTACAAAATAAAAAATTAGCTGGGCGGGGCAGTTCATGCCTGTAGTCCCACCTACTTAAGAGGCTGAAGTGGGAGGATCGCTTGAGTACAGGAGGTCAAGGCTGCAGTGAACCATGATTGTGCCACTGTACTCCAGCCTGGGCAACAGAGCAAGACCCTGTCTCAATCAGTCAATCAATGGAAAATATATTAAGTTAATGATTTCACACAGAATGTCCAATTTTCATGAAACAGATTACTGATGTTAAGTGGGAAATGCCTATATCCAGAATCTGACGACTTATCACCTCCACAACTACCACTGTGGTCAAAGCCACCAGTGTCACTCTAGGAGATTGTTGCAGTAGTCTCCTATCCAGTCTCCCCTCTTCTGCCCTTGTCCCTGCATAATCTGTGCTTCTTACAGCAACGTGATTCTCCTGATACAAAATTCAGGTCATGCAGTTCCTCTGCTCACAACTCTGCAATGGTCCCACTTTACTCAGTAAGAAAGCCAATTTCCTCACAGTGGTGCACAAGGCCCCACTCAACATAACTCCTTCCCCATTACTTATTTGACCTCATCTCCTATCCTTTTTCCCTACTAACTGTGATTCAGTCCAGTCACAGTGACCTCCTGGCTTTCCTTAAGCCTCCTGAGCACTTTCACTTTAGAACTTTGCCCTTGCTGAATTTGCCCCCTGCACCCCACTTGACCTACTCCATTGCCTGGGCTAGTTATCTATGTGACTCAGTCCCTTACTTCCTTCAGGTTGCTATTCAAGCATTACCTTATCAATATCCCTGCTCTTTACCCCTCTTGCCCTGCTTTATTTCTCTGGATTGAAGGTTACCTGCCACAAATTTCAGTGTGGCTTTAAGCCACATGCAGAAGGAGTTCTTTTTTTTTTTTTTTTTTTTTTTTTTGAGATAGAATAGTGATGTGATCACAGCTAACTGTAGCCCTGGCCTCTCAGGCTCAAGTGCTCCTTCCACCTCAGCCTCCTGAGTACCTGAGACTACAGGCACGTGCCACCACGCCTGGCTAATTTTTTAATTTTTGTTTTTGTAGAGATAGGGTCTCAGCATGTTGTCCAGGCTGTTCTTGAACTCCTGAGCTGAAGATCCTCCTAGGGCTCCCAAAGTGCTGGGATTACAGGTGTGAGCCACCACATCCAGCCAGCAAACATCTTTGGGAGGGAGATTTTTTTTTTTTTTTTTTTTTTGAGATGGAGTCTCACTCTGTCGCCCAGGCTGGAGTGCAGTGGTGTGATCTTGGCTCACTGCAACCTCTGCCTCCTGGGTTCAAGCAATTCTTGTGCCTCAGCCTCCCGAGTAGCTGGGATTATGGGTGTGCACCACCGTGCCCATCTAATATTTGTATTTTTAGTAGAGATGGGGTTTCACCATGTTAGCCAGGCTAGTCTCAAACTCCTGACCTCAGGTGATCCATCGGCCTTGGACTCCCAAAGTGCTGGGATTACAGGCATGAGTCACAGTGCCCAGCTGAACTTGTGTTTTTATCCCTCAGGCAATTAAAAAAGAAAAATGGGGCCAGGCGCGGTGGCTCAAGCCTGTAATCCCAGCACTTTGGGAGGCCGAGACAGGCGGATCACGAGGTCAGGAGATCAATACCATCCTGGCTAACACGGTGAAACCCCGTCTCTACTAAAAAATACAAAAACTAGCCGGGCGAGGTGGCGGCGCCTGTAGTCCCAGCTACTCGGGAGGCTGAGGCAGGAGAATGGCGTAAACCTGGGAGGCGGAGCTTGCAGTGAGCTGAGATCCGGCCACTGCACTCCAGCCTGGGCGACAGAGCCAGACTCCATCTCAAACAAAAAAAAAAAAAAAAAAAAGAAAAGAAAAATGGAAAGGAAAACTGAAAGATCTCTGAAGAATGCCCAGTTCCATCACATCTATCATGTGGCCTCTGGAAATCCCTGCCCGTGGGGAAGACTTATCATTGGTAGTAGTCAGGTGTTCAGGAACAATGGCTTTGAAGTTAGAAGGACCTGGATTAACCTGGCCTGGTATCAGTTTTCTCATTTATAAAATGGGATGGTAGTATTGATTCCTTGGGTTGTGGGAAGATTAAATGAAATAATCCATGTAATTTGATTACATACTCAGCTGCTCCCATTAGCACATCCTGATTATTCTTACTTAGCATTCAGTCCATGTGTGACTGCACTTATAATACCACATGAATCCAGTGGTCTGTGCCATGTAAATCAGGCCTCTGAGATTTTGCTCAGCTTACAATGGCATATGGGCAAATATGCTTCTGACTTTGCAAAGCCAGGTGGGCCCTAGCCTGAAGTGACTCACCTTCAGGCTAGGGCTGTCTATAGACAGTTGGGAGTCAGGTCAAAGAGCTGTCTTATAGATAGCTGGGAGTTCCTCCAGGCTAACTGGTTGTTCACTGGCTCTGGAGTTGCAGGAATAGACAACTGGCTCTCTGCTGCTCTTGGAAGTCTCTCCTAAATTAAACTCCTTAATTAGCCAGGTGTGGTGGCGGACACCTATAATCCCAGCTATTCAGGAGGCTCAGGCAGGAGAATCGCTTGAACCCCGGGGGCAGAGGTTGCAGTGAGATGATATCACGCCATTGCACTCCAGCCTGGGTGAAAGATCAAAACTCTGTCTCAAAAAAAAAAAACACAAAAAAACCCAAAAAACTCCTTGGTCTGCCACATGCCACTGCTCTGTGACCTTGCACTTTTGGTTCAAAGAACCAGACAAGGTCTACAATAGCTTACTTATTCTGTCCTCAGGGCCCACTCTCCACTGATCCCTTGTGGGCTTTAGCTGACTAAGCCCAGAGTGGCTGAGTGGTACCCAGCATGGTACGTGCCTGGGGAAGGGTTGGCGGGGGCAGGATCAGCTGGCCAGAGCTAGTGGATACTTCCTTCACAACAGTTCTCCTGCCACCTGAGATCATACAGTATCTCAGCATCTCCTAGGTCAGTCTGGGGTCCAGCCAGAGGCCTGATGAAGCAAACAGCTCTCTGGATACTTACTCTGGACACTCAAACAGGGAGGCTGAGTGAATCACAGCAAAATCCACCCCAACCCCCACTGGAGCCACAACTGAGCAACTGAAGCTCCTGGGAGGCTAGAATTGAAGAAGTTAGGCAAAGGAGGTCTCTTAGAACCAGCCCCAGATGCCCCTTCTTAGGGGACCCTTCTCAGAAGCCCCAGGCCTTGCTTTTCCTAAAAGTGCCCTGCTATGCCTGTGAGCAATGTCACCAAACAAGTTGGCTCAGTCAGCCCTTCTAGTGTGCCTCTCTCACTCAGGCAGCCCTGGAGCCAAGAAGGCCTTCAGGAGCCACTCCCTACTGACTCCCTACCACTCCTGTTCCCTCTTCCTGCTTGGATAGCACTTCATTTCACCTTAACCCTTTGGAGTGGTGTGTCTGGGAAGGAGGTGCCAGGATACAAGATGTGTAGCAGACAAGGCCCAGGTTCGAGACCGTGCTACGGCTGCTTCAGCAGGATGCCTACTCCATGCTGAGAGCATAGTCTGGTCCTTGTCACTTCTGGCGGTTACTTCCCTCCCTGACAAAAGGTGCTTACCCTCCCTCTGCAAACTTGTGCCCAGAAAGTGTGGCTCACCTAGTACAAGGGACAACCCAGTTGCACCAGACAAACTGGTGCAAAGTCCAGCTGGGCACAGTGGCTCATGCCTGTAATCCCAGCACTTTGTGAGGCTGAGGCAGGCAGATCACCTGAGGTCAGGGGTTCGAGACTAGCCTGGCCAACATGGTGAAACCTCGTCTCTACTAAAAAAATACAAAAATACAAAAAATTAGCTGGGCGTGGTAGCGCATGCCTGTAATCCCAGCTACTCGGGAGGCTGAGGCAGGAGAGTCGCTTGAACCTGGGAGGCAGAGGTTGCAGAGAGCTGAGATCACACCATTGCACTCCACCCTGGTCAACAAGAGTGAAACTCCATCTAAAAACAACAACAAAGCAAAGCCCCAAGCCCTTTCCAGGTGCTGCCCCGCTCATCCCAGTCACCTCTGTTGCTTTTTGAGAAGACTCTACCGGCTGAATATGTGTACGTTTGTTGAGGGGTAGGGGTGGGGGGTGGGGAAGAGTCCTACCTGGCCACTGCCCCCTACCAGACCTCGCCCTCCCAGCCTAAGTATGGGTTCCAGATCTCGCCTTTTGTATTCCCCAGCCGGGGGCCAGCCGGCTGAGGGACCCCAGAGAGACACAGTCTTCCCATTGCAAGCGATAGCGTTGATGGCCGTCTTCAAGCCCCTCCCTCCAAAGATGACAGCTCTCCAGTCTCTAGGTGCCTCCAGGCCACGTGGGCTGGCAGTCAACTCACCTGTTTCTCAGAGGTGCCCAGGACGCACAGAAGGTGCCGGTCACTGCCCTCTGCCAGAGCCCTGGGGGGGTAAGGGTGTCCGGCTGGGCCCGGCCTGAGGGCACAGCTTCGCGGGGCCCCGGCCCCCTGCGTACACAGACATGGCCACAGCGCAGGCACCGCGCCCTCCCACCGCCCTCACCCGGCCGCCAGTGCAGGAAGACAGCTTTCTCCGGCCTCTCGCAGCAAGGCCCAGCTCCAGCCGCACAGCCCGACCCGGCCCGCCCCCGGAGTGCATTGTGGGAAATGTAGTCCTTAGCGCTCGGCCGCTTGCCGCGCCGCGGGACTGGCTCTGGGTTCCTCGTCCCAGCGTAGCTGCGGGCAGGTCCTGACCCGCGTCCGGGACTGCCTCACCCGGGGCCGCCTTCTAGGGACCTGGGCGCCTCCTTAGAGCCTAGAGCCCCACACAGATCGCAGACCTGGACTCTGGGCCTCACCCTCCGAGCCAGCTAGCAGTTCATTTCAAGGGAGAGAAAGGGACGTTAGGGTTGTTTCTCCCACGGATTGTGGAAGGACAGTGCAAGTTTGAGGGACTGGATAAATGACATCAGTGGGCCCAGACACACAGGCTGTAAAGGATGTGGGCATGCGCAAAAGTCGCACTAATTGTTTCTAAAACCGTATTTGTAGCCACGTTTTAATGTATCAGTATAATGCTCTAGAACGGTAGTTCTCAACTCTGACGGCACACAGAATATCCCTGGAAGCTTTAAAAAAACAAAACAAAACAAAAACTAGGACGGGCGAGGTGGCTCACGCCTGTAATCCCAACACTTGGGAGACCGAGGTGGGCGGATCACTTGAGGTCAGGAGTTCCAGACCAGCCTGGCCAACATGGTGAAGCCCCATCTCTACTAAAAATACAAAAACTAGCCAGCCTTGATGGCTCCTGCCTATAGTCCCAGCTACTCGGGAGACTGAGGTGGGATCCCAGGAGGTCAAGGCTGCGGTGAACCGTGATCATGCCCCTGCACTCCAACCTAAGCACCAGAGCAAGACCCTGTCTCAAAAACAACAACAACAAAAAATTATGCCTGGACACCAGCCCTAGAGATTTTGATTTAGTTGAATTCAGAGTAAGGTGGAGTGTTGGGGAACCAGGCATCACTATTGTTTTAAAAGTTCCCCAGGGGATTTGCCATTGCAAAGAATCATTATTTGTAATTTCCTAGATGCAAAGCAATAAAAACAACAGGAAAACAGGCAACAACAGGCTTTCCCAAAAGGCCCTTATTTTTAGAGATGGTTTTAAAAAGCAAAAATTAGGGATTGGCACCACTGCTCATGTTTTTTCTGAAGCAATTAATTCACTTTACAGCCTTATGGTTTATTCTCCCAACAGTTAATAGGATGAAAGAAAAAGTCAGATCACTCCTCTGACTTTCCCTGCTGCTCCACAAGCACCTGGGGGCAGTGTCCTGTCCCTCTCTGAGCCCTACACTGGAGTTAGAGTAGAGCTCCGTCCCTGGGCTTTTCTTCCAGTCTCAGATGGCTGCCACCATAGCCTGCTTCCGCAACACTGGCCTGTGACTGACATGGTGACAAAGCTATGGCCTTTCACTGAAGATGACTTTGCATAAGGCTATCAAGTTCTTGCACATAGTCTAAGGGAACCTTTCTCACCCCCCTGTCCCCTACTTTTAGGTAAGGACATAAGAAAATGCCTTCTTCCTTAACTGAGAGTCTCTCCAGGTTTCCACAGGTCACTCACTATTTTATCTCCTCATTAGCTCAGAAGTCCACGTTCCCTCCCTTAGGGCAAGAATCATTTTATACAGTTTTTTTCTCTAAGTATTACACTATAAGAGTTTGAGCCATAAGCTGGGCTTGGTGGCACAGGCTTGTAATCCCAATTACTCCAGAGGCTGAAGCAGGAAGAACTGCTTGAGCCCAGGAGATCAAGTCTGAAGTGAGCCATGATCATGGACAACAAGAATGAGAGAGTCAAGAAAGAAGGAAGGAAGGAAGGGAGGAAGGGAGGGAGAGAGAGAGGGACGGAGGGAGGAAGAAAGGAAAGAAGGAAGGAGAGTTTAAGTCAAGATATAACATTCTCTGCTTGGTACAGAAATGTTCTGACTATATTCCTTTTCTTTTTCTTTCTTTTTTTTTTTTTCACTTTAGAGATGGTGGTTTCATTATGCTATGTTGACAAGGCTGGTATCAAACTCTTGGCCTCAAGCAATTCTCCCATCTTGGCCTCCCAAAGTACTGGGATTACAGGGCATAAACCACCATGCCTGGCTAATATCCTGCCTGTATTTCATTAACTTGAAGTTACACCCTATAGAATTCATCTCCATAGAAGACAATTTAATTTAATTTATTTACTTATTTTTTTTCAAACGAAGTCTCTATCGCCCAGGCTGGAGTGCAGTAGCTCCATCTCAGTTCACTGCAACCTCTGCCTCCTGGGTTCAAGCAGTTCTCTGCCTCAGCCTCCCGAGTGGCTGGGATTACAGGCATCTACCACCACGCCCAGCTAATTTTTGTATTTTTAGTAGAGACAGGGTTTCACCATCTTGGCCAGGCTGGTCTTGAACTTCTGACCTTGTGATCCACCCGCCTCAGCCTCCCAAAGTGCTAGGATTACAGGTATGAGCCACCACACGTGGCCCAGAAGACAAATTTAAAGTTTTCTTTTCTTTTTTTGAGATGGAGTTTCGCTCTGTCGCCCAGGCTGGAGTGCAGTGGTGCGATCTTAGCTCACTGCAACCTCCGCCTCCCGGGTTCAAGCAATTTTCTGCCTCAGCCTCCAGAGTGGCTGGGTGTGCACCACCACGTCTGGCTAATTTTTGTAATTTTTGTATTTTTAGTAGAGATGGTGTTTCCCTACGTTGGTCAGACTGGTCTCAAACTCCTGACCTCGTGATTCACCCATCTCAGACTCCCAAAGTGCTGGGATTACAGGTATGAGCGACCGTGCCTGGCCAGTTTTTTGTTTTGTTTTTTTGAGACAAAGTCTTGCTCTGTCACCCAGTCTGGAGTGCAGTGGTACTATCTCAGCTCACTGCAACCTCCACCTCCCAGGTTCAAGCGATTCTCCTGCCTCAGCCTCCCGAGTAGCTGAGACTACAGGCGTGCACCACCACGCCTAGCTAATTTTTTTATTTTTAGTAGAGAAGGGGTTTCAGGGTTTCACCATGTTGGCCAGGATGCTCTTGATCTCTCAACGTTGTGATCCACCCACCTCGGCCTCCCAAAGTGCTGGGATTTTAGGTGTGAGCCACTGCACCCAGCCAATTTTTGTATTTTTAGTAGAGACGGGGTTTCACCATGTTGGTCAGGCTGATCTCGAACTCCTGATCTCAAGTGATCCGCCCGCCTCAGCCTCCCAAAATGCTGGGATTATAGGTGTGCGCCACTGCACCCGGCCTAATTTTTGTATTTTTAGTAGAGATGGGGTTTCACCATGTTGGCCAGGATGGTCTCAATCTCCTGACCTTGTGATCCGCATCCACCCACCTTGGCCTCCCAAAGTGCTGGGATTACAGGCGTGAGCCACCATGCCCGACCAAATTTAAAGTTTTCTACCTAACTAGTTCTTGACAGTCTCCATGTTGACCTCAGGATTTCTTCCAGAATCTTACTATTCCTGTTAAGCACATCAGTTCCACGAGATAGTACTACTATCATCTGGAAGTATTACATCTACTTAGCTAAGCAAGTGGCCATATATCTCATATATTTCTTGCTAAGACTTGTGCCTAAGACATTCTCATAGACCAAATCAAGGTGGCTACTTACTAAAAACATCTTAGGTTATTACTTAAAACTTTGTTTTAATCCACTTTTTTTTTTTTTTGAGACAGAGTTTTGCTTTTGTTGCCCAGGCTGGAGTGCAATGGCGTGATCTCAGCTCACCACAACCGCCGCCTCCTGGGTTCAGGCGACTTTCCTGCCTCAGCCTCCCAAGTGGTTGGGATTACAGGCATGCACCACCACACCTGGCTAATTTTGTATTTTTAGTAGAGATGGGGTTTCTCCATGTTGGTCAGGCTTGTCTCGAACTCCCGACCTCAGGCAATCCACCTGCCTTGGCCTCCCAAAGTGCTGGGATTACAGGCATTAGCCACCATGCCCAGCCTTCTTTGTTTTTTGAGTCAGGGTCTTACTCTGTCACCTAGGCTGCAGTACAGTGGCTCACTGCAGCCTTGACCTCCTGGGCCTAAGTGATCCTCCTACTTTAGCCTCCTGAGTGGCTGGGACCACAGTTGTGTGCCACCACATTGGGCAACTTTTAAATTTTTTGTAGAAATGGCATCTCCTTATGTTTCCCAGGCTGGTCTGGAACTCCTGGGCTCAAGCAATCCTCCTACCTTGGCCTCCCAAAGTGTTGGGATTACAGGTGTGAGCCACTGTGCCTGGATTTTTGTTTTTATATTGAGACAGTCTCAATATGTTGCCCAGGCTGGCCAGGAACTACTGGGTGCAAGCCATCCTCCCACATCAGTCTCCTGAGTAATTAAGACGACACACCCAGCAAGGATACACTTTAGCTACAACCTTGCAGCACCTCAGGTTCTAACATCTTCACTAAAGCTAGAAAAGAGAGGAAATATGGGGAAGAACACATCTAATTGTTACATTTCTTCAGCCTTCACTTTTCAGCTATGGCAAGTTACTTAACCTTTCTGCGCTCGGGTTTCCTTAACTATAAAAGGGGAGGCCGGGCGCGGTGGCTCAAGCCTGTAATCCCAGCACTTTGGGAGGCCGAGACGGGCGGATCACGAGGTCAGGAGATCGAGACCATCCTGGCAAACACGATGAAACCCCGTCTCTACTAAAAAATACAAAAAAACTAGCCGGGTGAGGTTGCGGGCACCTGTAGTCCCAGCTACTTGGGAGGCTGAGGCAGGAGAATGGCGTAAACCCGGGAGGCAGAGCTTGCAGTGAGCTGAGATCCGGCCACTGCACTCCAGCCTGGGCGACAGAGCCAGACTCCATCCTGCACAAAGAAAACAAAAAAAAAAAAAGGGGAGGCTGGGCCCGGTGGCTCATGCCTGTAATCCCAGCACTTTGGGAAGCTGAGGCGGGTGGATCACCTGAGGTCAGGAGTTCAGGACTAGCCTGGCCAAGATGCTGAAACACTGTCTCTACTAAAACTACCAAAAAAATTAGCTGGGCGTGGTGGTGTGAGCCTGTAATCTCAGCTACTAGGGAGGCTGAGGCAGGAAAATTACTTGAACCCTGAAGGCGGAGGCAGAGGCTTCAGTGAGCTGAGATCTTTCAGCCTGGGTG